ATTTCAAGGAATGTATTTCTTTAACAGGACAATTAATGCGGAACATTATGGGCTCGGATAGTAGTAAGATAGATTTTTTTTTTTTTTTTTTTTGTTTTGTCTTTTTTTTTCTTCTTGTACTTGAGCTTATAACCTTTCATCCACAGGTCGCTTTAGGATCGAAAACTTTATTAACTATTGGTTTTGTATCTGCGGATATTTTATACGCGTGGTCTAGGAATCTTTATAATGAATATCTCCTGTATAAAACAGTTGAAAACGGCAATGTGCCCAGTCTTGGTGTTAGAGAAGACTTGATCGTGCCTCGATCGCAAGCAGTAGAGAGTCTTGTAAAGATTTTTCAGCCAAATTATTATCATAAAAATTATCATGTTATTGCTGGCGAGCCTGGCACTGGAAAAACAACGTTGAGCAGAATTGCTGCAAGGAAAGCCGGGCGAGGGGTTATATACGTTGATGTCAGGGTGGATTTAAATAATTTGGATGATTTGGGCTACGATCTTGGTAAAGCTATTAATTTCAAGGAATGTATTTCTTTAACAGGACAATTAATGCGGAACATTATGGGCTCGGATAGTAGTAAGATAGATTTTAATTTTTTTTTTTTTTTTATTGTCGACGATCAATAACTTTTTAAATAATTCTTCATTTTATAGCTCAGTTTGAAAATTCTAAATGGGGAATGCTTTGGATGCTTTTAAGCGTGCTGCTGCTGCGTATAAAAAGAAACATAAGAAATTGCCGGTTCTTGTATTTGATAACATAAGCATCCTCAATAAAACTCACCCAGAAATTATTGATATTCTTCAAGAATATGCTAAAGAAAGTGCTGATATGTTAGAATTTGTAGTAGTGTTTGTCACTAACGAAGGATCGGTCCCGGAGAGGATGAGAGGTAAAAGTTAATTTTGAAGCAATGTAAAGGATTTCAAGTGTTATTGATTAGACAGGTGTTATTATTTTGTTAGAACGCAGCGCCTGGTCGCGAGCAAGTAAACCAGTAGTGGAAATCGGAGATGTTACTGAATATAAAGCTATAGATTTTCTAGTTAATAGGCGCAAAGTATGTAATGATGCAGAAGCAAAAAGGTTATATGAATTTATTGGGGGCGTATTATGGAGCTGCATTATGCAGCTAAAGATATTCAAAATAAATTATCCTTTGAAGGTAAGATATTTACACTGAATGAATTATATTGTTTGTTTTTGATTAATTTCTTTTTTGACACTCTTCTGCAGATATCAAACAAAACATCTTTACAGGAATCAACATGCAGTTTCGTGCAGCAAAAATTAACCCAGGAAAACCAAATCACGAAAAAGCAAAGCCACTCTTAAAAGCTTTGTTGGAGAATAATGATAAGGGATTAAGTATAACATACTTCAAAAAATGGTTAAAGACGATACATTGTTGGATAAGCTGATAGCAGCTAGCGTACTTGCATATCATTCTGCAACAGATACACTCACCCTCCACTCTCGTTCCATACAATGGTATCTTCGGAAAAATGTTGAAAAGTTCAATATTACTGACAAGAAATGTTGTTTTTTTTAAAAAATTATATTGTATATGCTAACCAGTAAGAGAAATCAATAAAAATCTTCAATATAAATGTGATTTGTGCAATTCAGAATAGTTGAGCACTTATATTTCTTTTTGACCATTCACCTCTTTAAATTGTAAATGCTACTCTATTTGACTATTTACTCTTTAAACAGTGGCATCAAAATTTAATTACAAATAAATTATTATGCAATTACAATCAATTAAAATTGTTCAAAAAACAACTGCAAGACAATTAAATTGTGAATAATTGCAATTAATTATAATTAATTGCCAATTTTTGTTTTTACCATAAGGTTTTCAACTTTAAAATACTCAACAGTCAAAGCTTTATAGTTGCATCTTTGTTATATAAAAATGGTGATTACATAAAGGTGTGATTAATATAGAGGGCATTCTATGTAGTCATAGCTATATTAAAAATAAAATTTTGTGGCCATATAAAGATTTTCTTAAACAAAAAATTTTTTAATTTAATATTGCAAATATAAGATAGCTACGCAACGCAGTTGCGCTAGAAACCAGGAACAAAATGGAATATATTTAAAGATTTGATGATCAATATATATGGGCTAATAGTGCTTATTTTGAACATTTAAAACTTAATATCGATAGAATAATATTAATATAATACTAGCATAGCGGGCTTTATTATGATTGGTTGATTTTGAAGATCATCTCATCATATTAAAGTCTTATTAAAGTAACGA